CAGGTTTTTTGTTATTATTAACTTAATCCTTCTATGAGGTATGTACTATTTTTAGCCCCATTTTACAGGTTAACAGGCAGAAGAACAGACTGATTAAGTAACTTGCCCCAGGCTATCGGGCCAGATTCAAGATCCTTGTACTTAAGGTACCCCATAGGAGAGGGAGAGGCAGATTTCTACGTTTCATCCCTTTTTTTCTTGCCAGATGGATGGGGCCGGGAAGCACTGGGATGAGGGCAACATGTTGCTACCAAAGGCCCACCCCAGAGAGAAGAGTTCAGGCTCAGCACTTCAACTCTTTTGTTGCCTGAGGGTATTCAGTCCAGAACCTAAATAGAAGGATTCATCCAAGATTGCTAAGTGGATAATTAACATTCATTAGACCAAATGAGAACAGACTGTGAGATGGAGGGACTGCGCCTCTCCCAGCTGCATTACTCTGTGTTTCTCTTTCAAGGGAAATATTACCATGTTATCTAAGAAATGTAAAGACCTAATGTGAAAATGTAAATAATCGGAATAGCTTTCTTTCTAAGTCATTGGAGTCTTTTGATATGTGGTTTTAATAAACCTTAACTATTTTAAGGAACATATTTTCAATGTATATACAATTTTTATTTTTTAATAAAAGGAATCTATTTTAAATGTATATTAAATTATAAAGAACAATAGTTCAACCCAATACCCAGTTTAATAAATAGAAAGTTGTCATCACCCTCTTCCCTCCCTCTGCATCACCACTTTCTATTCTGGGTTTTTTGTTAATAATCGCATTACTTAAGATTTCTAACAGTTATACTAGCTGCACATGTATTAAGAATGATATAATTGAATTTCACTTTATATAAATGGAATACTACTGTATGTATTATTTCATGGCTTGCTTTTTTTAACACAACATTCTGGGAGATTTTTCCATGTTTTTACCTGTAATGATAGTTCCCTTAGTTTTCATTGCTGTGATTTCATTTTATTAATATCCCACAGTTCATCTTTCTGTTCTATTATTGGTGGATATTTGAGTTGTTTCTACTTTTCTGGGATTTAAGAATGCTCTTCTTTGAGCATTCCTTTTGTATGTTTTTTTTTTTTTTTTTTCTTTTCTGGAAAGAGTCTAAACATAAACCCTGGTGAACATGTGTAAGTAGTTCTCTTGTATAAAAAAGTTGGAGGGGCCCTAGCCAATTTGGTTCAGTGGATAGAGTTTTGGCCTGGGATTCGATTCCAGTCAAGGGCACATACCTTGGTTGCTGGCTTCTCCCTGACCTGGGCCCTGGTCAGGGCTCGTGCAGGAGGCAAGCAATCCATATGTTTCCCCTCACATTGATATTTCTCTCTTTTTTCCCCTCACTCTCCCTAAGGGGAAAAAAAATACCTTTGAGTAAGGATTAACAACAACAACAATAAAAAGTTGGAGGAAAATTACTATGCTGTAGGATATGTTTATTTTTAATTTTATCAGATAACACCAATTTATCTCCATTAGTCATCCTATATAATAAAAGGCTAATATGCAAATTGCTCCCTCGAAAGTTCAACCAAGAGACTAGGAGTTTGATCGATTGCTATGATGTGTGCTGACCACCAGGGGATGGTGTGGAACATGGTAGGTGACCAACAACAGCAGTAGGGTGCTGAGGAATTGAGGGGAGGCCGGGAGGTAGGGAATCATATGGGCCCTAATCGCTGGCCAGGCCTAGGGACCCTACTTGTGCACAAATTTCATGCACCAGGCCTCTAGTATATATAAAAGAGGCTTCAGCCTCACTTGCTCTCTTACACTTGGAATTGTCATTTTTATTTTTGTTACGGGGAGGTAAGGAGATAGAAAAGGGAGATCAGGAGAATGGTATTTCATGTGGTTTTAATTTACATTTTTTAGATTACTAATGAGGTTGAACATCTATTTTTTTCCATTTGGATTTTTTCATAAAATGCCTATTCAAGTATATTCTTGTTGGGGCTTCTTCCTTTTTTCTTGCTGATTTCTAGGAGTTTCTTGTGGATTTAATGAATGGCAGATATTATCTCCTACCCTGTAGGTGGTCTTTTCACTTTCTTTATGGTGCCTTTTTTAGTTCTGGTTATTAATCCTCACCCATTTTTTCCACTCACTTTTTTTTTTTTTTTTTATAGAGAGTGGGAGGAAGAGACAGAAGAAGAGGAGAGGAAGAGAGAGGGATGGGAGAGAGAGAGAGAGAGAGAGAGAGAGAGAGAGAGAGAGAGAGAGAGAGAGAGAGAGAGAAACATGTTGCCTCTCAAACGTGCTCTGACCCTTTGGTGCACAGGATGATGCTCCAACCAACTGAGCCGCCTGGCCAGTGCTTATAGAGTTTTGCTGTCTACTAGTGGAGTTGTTTGGTTACCCTGCTTGTGATAACTTGGGATTTCTAATCTGACAAGTAAAATTTTTAATAAATTCCTAGCCAACATTTTCCCAAATATTGCCACTGCAAACGTGGGAAGATTTAATATTTAAACCCCTGAACAAAGGAGTTCTCGCGGCTCTGTCTCTTGCTGCTCACACCTGACTCCTGGCTGACGGGCCTCTCATGCTCTATCTTTGCCCACGTGGCCCCCAGCCATGCAGACTGCACACAATAGACAGATGGACTGAATCTAACCTAATGCTACATCGAACCCCTCACTCCTATGGAATGGAAACTCTGGACACCAGTCCTATTTTAGCTCCACTAACGCCCCAGCTCCACCTTTTTCAGGACTGGGTTAAGGGCATGGGACTTTACCAACCTGAGGAATGTAAGTCCCCTTCCTGAGATTGAGAAATTCGATTAAGTCGAAATTGAAGACCCAAATGCAAGAGAAAAATCCCACCACCTTCAAAATACTAAATGATTGAGCAGGAGAAGCAAGCAGGCAAATCGTAATGAGGCACACACACTGCCACTATGTGCCACAGGCCTTGCCGCCTCCTCCTCCTCCTCCTCCTCCTCCTCCTTCTTCTTCTTTTTAATATATTTTATTGATTTTTTACAGAGAGGAGGAAGGGAGAGAGATAGAGAGCTAGAAACGTCGAGAGAGAAACATCGACCAGCTGCCTCTTGCACACTTCCTACCGGGAATGTACCCGCAACCAATGTACATGCCCTTGACTGGAATCGAACCTGGGACTTTTCAGTCTGCAGATTGACGCTCTACCACTGAGCCAAACCAGTTTCGGCAGCGTGCCTTTTTTGTTGTTGCTCAAATGCTTTTAATTATTAGAATGCCCAATTTTAAATATGCTAATTATAAGTTTTAAAACCTGGGGTGGGGGGGCGGGCGGGAAAGGTGTGTTAACCTAAATCAGTGGTCGGCAAACTCATTAGACAACAGAACCAAATATCAACAGGACAACGATTGAAATTTCTTTTGAGAGCCAAATTTTTTTAACTTAAACTTCTTCTAATACCACTTCTTCAAAATAGACTCTCCCAGGCCATGGTATATTTGTGGAAGAGCCACACTCAAGGGCCAAAGAGCCGCAAGAGAGCCATAGTTTGCTGACCACTGACCTAGATACACAGAAATAATGGATAGGGCTTTCTTAAGGCAAAAGTAAGCCTTTCACTAAAGTTATATTCTGGGGTGTGACTGCCCACCATGACCTGCCCAGTTAGGAATTTATGATCATCTTATACCCTGTGAGATTACTTTCCATAGAGCTCCTTTTTCCCATCCACAGGGGTGTTGAGCCTTGACAGAGAAAAGAGCTACATGTTTGTAAATGCCTGAGAGAATACGGAGTGAATCTTCTTGGTAGTTGTGTATTTATACTATCCCACAGATAGTATTTATTTTTTCTCTTTTCTTAAAATCTCAATTTTCTCTTCCTATTTTTTAAGCCAATTCTGTAATTTTAATCCAGCCAGAGAACTGGCTCAGTCTTCTGGGTCAGCTCCTTCACCTCCGAGTCCCTTTTCTTCTCTATAAAATAAGACCCCTGCCTATTTCTCAGGATCGGTGGGGAATGAGCCACTTGTAAAGGTGGCTGACATTTCACGGGTACTCAGTAAACCCTTATTTCTTTTTTAATCTTTCTTTCTTATCCACACTCTTGTCAACACTTATTTTCAATACTTCTCAGTAAATTTGCTATAATAGTCTTTTGCAACACCATGGAGAAACCTAGTGGAAGCCAATGAACTAGATAAACTAGGAACTTGATTTGAAAACTTGGTTTTTACTTTATTATTTGTGTCAATATTACAGATGTTCCCCATTCCCTCCCCCTTTTTCCCCCCCTCCCACCCAACCCCTGCCCCACCCCAGGCCTTCCCCACCATTGCCTGTGTCCTTGGATTATGCATATATGGTCTTAGAAAACTTAACTTCTAAAAAAGAGACTTTCTGAAGTGATTTTGAAAGGCTGAATTTGGTGCTCAGAGCTAAGGAGATAAAGCCAAGTCCTGTGCATTTCCCCCTTGGAGACATTTTTCATTGTATTGCATGTCAGCAGCCCCAGTACATGTCCAATTGCACATATAACGATGTGCAGCATCACCAGTTACAGTCCAACCAAGGCATGCAGAGGCTTATCGCATTCACATGCAAATATATGTATACTCCATAGCCACTCTTATCCCTTGACCCGATGTAGACCTAATTTTGCAGTTTAAGTTAGTGAGTTATCTTGAACTTGTTGGCCTGCCACTAAAAATGGACAAAAATATAAGGATAAGGGTGAAACTGTAAGACTCGTGTAGTTTGGGTTAGAATGAAGCTGAAATCTAAGTTTTGAAATAAAAGTAGACCCTAAAGTCACTCATATTCTTTAGTAAGATTTTGTGTTTTGTTTTAAGGGTGTATCATTTTGACACTGACTCACAGAGGTGTCTCAGTTGCTGCATAGTATCATGAGTGGTACTGCCTACATACTTACTTGCCTTGTGCAGCTGTTGAGATTTCATAGGGTCTGAGCAACATCGAAGTAAGATAAGCTCTGAAGAAAAACAACAGTTATTTAAAGTGTATGCTTTTGATTTGTGGTCTGCCCCCAGGCCTACCATTGACCTTGCCCTGCTGGACATGCCCTTCCTTCAACTCGCTGGGGAGATGCCCTCTGACCTCTGAGAGCAGCTGGACCACACACTCTGAAGACACCAGTAGTCCTAGTTGCGGCCCCTCATACACAGACCTGCAGCTCATCAGTGCGGAGGAGCAGATGAGTGGAAGGGCATCTAGGGCCGACTCTACAGGTAAGATGGAGCACTGAGCCACAGGGCTTTGCCAATCACTCTCCCTGACCTGTAGCCCTTCTTCAAATCTCTGTAGCCAGCTTTGTTTGTAGAATAAGGTCAAGGTTAACATCCAGTCAAAATACTAGATTCCTGAGTGATTCAAAATTGGGTTATTAGAAAAGAAAACAAAAACAGATTGGCTGGTTGGTTAGATGATGATCAATATTGGGAAACCATTTGACATATGTTATTATTATTATTATTAATAATAATAATAATAATAATAATTATTATTATTTTATTTGAAGTATTACATATTCTCCCCCCCCCCCCCCAATTGATCTCTACCAGGTTGCTCTCACTCCCTCGCTGTCTGTGTCCATTGGTTATGCTTATATACATGCATACAAGTCCTTTGGTTGAACTCTTACCCCCACCCCCCCAGCCTTCCCTCTGAGGTTTGATGGTCTGTTCCATGCTTCTCTGTCTCTGAATCTATTTTTGTTCATCAGTTTATGTTGTTCCACAAATGAGTGAGATCATGTGATATTTATCTTTCTCTGTGTGAACTTATTTTGCTTAGCATAATGCTCTCCAGATCCATCCATGCTGTTGTGAATGGTAAGAGTTCTTTCTTTTTTACAGCAGCATAGTATTTCATTGTGTAGCTGTACCACAGTTTTTTTAATCCACTTATCTTCTGATGGGCGCTTAGGCCGTTTCCAAATCTTAGCTATGGTGAATTGAGCTGCTATGAACATAAAGTGCATCTTCCTTCTGATTGGTGTTTCTGATTTCTTGGGATATAGTCCTAGAAGTGGGATCTGGGTCAAATGGGTTTCATTTTTAATTTTTGAGGAAACTCCAAACTATTTTCCACAGTGGCTGCACCAGTCTGCATTCCCAGCAGCAGTGCACGAGGGTTCTTTTTCTCCACATCCTCGCCAGCCCTTGCTGTTTGTTGATTTGTTGATGATAGCCATCTTTTGAGACAGCATGAATGGACCTGGGAATTATCAAGTCGATTCAATGAGTTTGGCATTACAATGGTACTGAAACCAAAGAAACAAGGCCTGCTTCCTCTTAGCTCCAGCACCTGGGTGAGGCTTTGGGAGACACAGACTCATGCCAGCAAGAACTGGATTGTCTGGCATCAGGGCAGGAACTCAGGGTGGCTTTCTTCCAGATGCAGGAGCTCACAGGGATCATAGTTCCTATCCCGGGACCTCCCCGGTCACAGGGCTGACTTGACAGTATGTCTTAATGTGTTATTTTCCTGACGGTTTGGTACAAGTGCTGTTCTTTGTCAATTTCGCATCTCCTTGGATAACAACTATTGGTAATATTCACAAAATTGAATCTTGCATCCTACCTCCCAAGCATATTCCCTCTTCAGCAAAAGGGAGGTAGATTTAAGCAGAGAAAAAGTAAATGTTGCATGAAGTGGAATGAGTATCAGGACTCAGCCACTGTATCTCGACTACAAATCATTTTGCAGTTATGTTTATTCTGTTGGGCCTGAGTTGAGCTATATAAGTTAGCATGGAGCATCCTGGGGTCTCATTGTTACATTTCCAGTAGGTGTAGGATGGAATGTCGGCTGGCTTCAACGGTGGTATTATGGCCCATCGGCAAGTACCATACTGCATATTAGGGTTAGGATGGCATTGGAAACATGTGATGTGTTCTTGGTGTTTTGGTTGTTGGGACCAAGAGATTGTTTTCCTTTGAAAGGGATGGAGTTACTGGTAGTTTCTTTGTGGATGAAATTATCCATTATGTTTTTTCTTTTCAAATCTTTAGGAATTTGTCTCTGAATCATTTTTCAAACTTGGGCAACATTTACCCTGATGCTGTGTACTATTGGGGGCTCTATAAAGAGAAAGGATTCAAAATACCCGGCTGACATGGCTCAGTGGTTGAGCATTGACCTTTAAACTAGGAGATCATGGCTCGATTCCCAGTGAGGGCACATGCCAGAGTTGTGGACTTGATCCCCAGTGTGGGGTGTTCAGGAGGCAGCTGATTAGTGATTTTTTTCTCATTAATGTTTCTATCTCTCTATCCCTTCCTTGCTGAATCAAAACACACACACACACACACACACACACACACACACACACACACACAGTATATATACTAATAAAAGCCTAAGTGGTCCTTGTGCCCTCGTGCAATGCCCTTACATCATCACAAGATGGCCAGCATAAGATGGCCGGCAGGGGAGGGCAGTTGTGGGGGGACCAGACCGGCAAGGGAGGGCAGTTAAGGTGACCAGGCCGGCAGGGGAGGGCAGTTGGGGGCAACCAGACCTGCAAGGGAAGGCAGTTGGGGGCCATCAGGTTGGCAGGGGAGGGCAGTTGGGGGCAATCAGGCCATCAGGGGAGGGCAGTTGGGGGCAATTGGGCCAGTAGGCGAGCAGTTAGGCATCAATCAGGCCAGCAGGGGAGCAGTTAAGGGGCGATCAGGCTGGCAAGAATAAGTGGTTAGGGGCAATCAGGCAGGCAGGTGAGTGATTAGGAGCCAGCACTCCTGGATTGTGAGAGGGATGTCCAACTGTGGGATCAGGCCTAAACTGGTAGTTGGACATCCCCCAAGGGGTTCCAGATTGGAGAGGGTGCAGGCTGGGCTGAGGGACATACACCCCGCTCCCCGCCATGCATGAATTTCATGCACCAGGCCTCTAGAGTGTGTGTGTGTGGGGGGGTTCAAATAGAATTTAGTTTGGTATTTGATAAATTTGCAAAGAATTCTAGTTTAACACAGTCTCTCTCTCTTTTCATAAGCTACAGTTCTTTCTAGCATTTTGTTTTCACAGACATTCCCTCAGTTCTGCTTTATCCCATGACTGATGATCCGGTCAGTGGCTGATGATCCAGTCAGTGGCTGAAATACGCCCCCACGCCCCCATCTCCGCTGTGGGGAGCATTTCCTGGTGGCAGGGCACTATCAGGGGCTGAGGCTGTGCTTCTCCTCCTCGCTTCTCCATGCTCCTGACCTCCTTGCCAAGCCTTCCTGCAGAGGATGCAGATGATGTATTGGTTCACGGACTCTGGAGTGATCCTCAAGGATGCAGATTCTTCCCTCACCTGCCCCAGGGATCTCATTAGGTTGGAGAGGTGGAGAATGGGCTCCTCGCTGCAGGAAAAGTCAGCATGTCTGTTCAGGCTCTTTTTTCAGTGGCCTCTCTACTTAGGTGAAAATGGCTTTAATACCTGAGGTTCCAGTGATGAAAGCAGAGCCCTAGCCTGGACTGGACATTACCATTCTGTCTCCCAAGCTTTAATGGTCTTCAGTTATTTTAAGTATCTGTCCTGACAGGGTTACAATGGGCACCGAGAAAGCCTCCGCCCTGTTGTTTCAGTCAAGGTCCTGGAGGAAGCAGATGGAGCCCTCGGAAGGGTTTATCTGATAAGAGTATAATGACAGTCTGAAGCCGGTTTGGCTCAGTGGATAGAACGTTGTCCCGTGGCCTGAAAGGTCCTGGGTTTGATTCCAGTCAAGGGCATGTATGTTGGTTGTGGGCACATACCCAGTAGGGAGGGTGTGCAGGAGGCAGCTGATGGATATTTCTCTCTCATCGATGTTTCTAACTCTCTATCCCTCTCTCTTCCTCTCTGTAAGAAATCAATAAAATATATTTTAAAAATAAAAGTGTAATGACAGGACTGCTTACAGGGGCAGCAAGAATTAGAATCATGGAAGAGGGGCTGTCCCACAGGGTCCAGAAACTCAAACACTTATCAAACAGTAAAGTTAACTTGGATATGCAGGCTGTTGTTAAAGTGTTAGGAAACAAGAAAAAAAAATTTTTTTTGACAATCTTCCCTGGATTTACAAAGCCAGCCTTACTTTGTCTCAGGCTCTGTTATACCTCTGGCTGTAAAAGGGACAGAGCCACTGTCAGAGACTTGGTGAACTGGGGAGAGCGGGGAATCAATACCCAGATTCGTGCTGGTGCTTCCCATCAGCAGATCCAGCTGGAAGCCGAAGGGCCAGGAGACCTGGTGAGGTAGCCCACAGAGGTCAGCCCCCAGGCCACAGAGCAGGTGACAACAAGTATCAGTGGGTTTGGGGTCATTGGTGGTGGTGAGCAAATAGAGACTCGGCAACACGCTGTAATCCCCATCAGGAACTAAATGGACTGGAGGCTGGGATCACTCTACAACCACAGATGCAAAACCAGGCCTCAAGAGTGATGAGTGATGCTCTCAGTTCTCTCCCAGGCTACAGGGAGGCTGGAGGTATGGCCTTGGGGCAACCACCCTCTCCTCAGAAGCAGAATAATCACAGCCAGGACTCACTGTGTACTGTGTGCCGGTTGTGTGCTATCTCTGGCCTTCACAACAATCCTGCAAGGCAGGTTTCCTTGTCCCCGTTTCCTCGTTGGTTCTGAGTCTTTGGGAGTTAAGAAACTGGTCTAAGAGAATGTGACTAAGAAATAGACAAACCTGGCTGAAACCAGGTTTGGCTCAGTGGATAGAATGTCGATCTGCGGACTGAAAGGTCCCAGGTTCGATTCTGGTCAAGGGCATGAACATTGGTTGCGGGCACATCCCTGGTAGGGGGGTGCAGGAGACAGCTGGTCGATGTTTCTCTCTCATCGATGTTTCTAACTCTCTATCCCTCTCCCTTCCTCTCTGTAAAAAAAAAATCAATAAAATATATTTAAAAAAAGAAAAGAAAAAAGAAATAGACAAACCTGGATTTCAATCCAAGTTCCAAAGCCTTTCCCAGTGGCTCCCAAATCTGGTGGTGTCCCGAGAATTATCATGGATATCAGTTTGCTATGTTACCTTTCAAACCTTCTGTACATATATATAATATATATATCCAGTGTATATATAGTTGTTGTTGCCTTGGGGTTATTTTTAACCTAAACAGGATCAAAGGGATTTTAAAAAGATGAGTAGCAGGAAAGCTGGAGGAAGAAGCTGATGTTTCCTTATCAGACATGAGTGTTTACAGATAACTGCTGTGTGCCCACAGTACTGTGTTATGTAAACAAGTTTCTAGGC